TCATGTCGACCAACGTCAGCGTCCAAACCCATGACAGAGGGTAAGGACGATCGTTGAAGGTCATTGACTCTTGCATGCCTCTGGGCTCTGACAACACAGAATATGTCTACAGAGCAATCCTGTAAAACATGCTTTACAACTTGATATAGAGATACAAAAAAGAATTCTAAAGTAAATAGGGGAAAAATCGGCAAATAACTTCTCAGCCTCTTTTGCTCAAATCCTTTTATCGATGTTGTTGTTGATATTTTRTTTTTTTGTCTTTGCTTTGCTTTGTCACGTCGTTGAAACAAAGTCACTACATGTCACTTTATTTTACAGATTAAAAGCGCACAGACAGCGTATTAAGATAAAAAGACAGTCAACAGAAAAACGTTTACCTGGAAGGGTTCCAATGCTCCGGGTATATCATCGATTTCCGTCTAAAACGAAAAAAAATAATGAACAAGAATGATGAATATTCTTGTAAATTTCKAAATATGACCAACTGAAAAATGCCAAAACGTAATAATAAGCAACAGTTTAATAACAAGTGATATTTAGCTCTTCTAAGCCCCACGTGTGACCTTGACACATACCTTGTGTTGAAATTCTAGTTTATATGTCCCATCAACCTGTTCGGCCATCCTGTAGGCGTGTAAAAAGCCTCCTGCACACGAGCGAGGGTTGAGGGTCATGTCTTTTGCAGTGCCTACGATAACGAATGACTCGTCTGGACGAGAGTTGAACGAGCACACGCAAACACTATAAAATAGAGAATAGAAAGATTCAGAGTTGCAGTCAGTGTTGTTGTTGTTGTTGTTGCTGTTGTTGTTATTGTTGCTGTTGTTGTTGTTGTTGTTGCTGCTGCTGTTGTTGTTATTGTTGTTGTTGCTGTTGTTGTTATTGTTGCTGCTGCTGTTGTTGTTGCTGCTGCTGTTGTTGTTGTTGCTGCTGCTGTTGTTTTTGCTGTTGTTGTTATTGTTGTTGCTGTTGTTATTGTTGTTTTTGCTGTTGTTGTTGCTGTTGTTGTTGTTGCTGCTGTTGCTGTTGTTGTTATTGTTGTTGTTGTTGCTGTTGTAGTTGTTGTTGCTGCTGCTGCTGTTGCTGTTGTTGTTATTGTTGTTGTTGTTGCTGTTGTAGTTGTTGTTGCTGCTGCTGTTGTTGACTATTTTGGCATTGCACATTGTGAGGTCAATAATCTATATTCACTATCAATTAATGATTAATAATCATTGATATTATTATCATCAACATTATCTAATATTCTTATCATCATCATTATACGAATCTTGTCGACCAACGTCAGCGTCCAAACCCATGACAAAGGGAAAGACGATCGTTGAAGGTCATTCACTCTCGCATGCCTCTGGGCTCTGACAACACAGAATATGTCTACAGAGCAATCCTGTAAAACATGCTATATCAAGAATCCATCTACTTCATGAAGAGAAACTTGCTTAACAGCTTGCTAAATAATGGCTCTTTGCTGATAACCGTGTCTTCTTTAAGCACATTAGTAATCAAGAAATCATTGTTTATTGTAAGCAAAGGTTTTTGCTATAAAATTATTATCTCGGTCATTAAATGTTTGCCTCCTCTATTTGATTCAAAGCAAAACTAAATAACTCAAATACAACTTTTAAAATCTCTTACAAATTTATAATCTATGTTGATATTGTTGGAAATTGGTCATACTTACCTAACAGCGCATTCGTTTTGTTCGAGTTGAACCGCGTCTGTGGATTCTCCCTATGAACAGCAAATAATCAGATTAATTTAAAATTGCTTGTTTGATTGATAGATAGTTGATTAATTGATTAGTTGGTTGGTTGAATGGGATTAATTGATYGATTGATTGAATGAATGACTAATGATTGATTAAATCATTAATTGATGTTTTGATTGATTGATGGTTTGATTGATAGTTTGATTTGATTGATTAGTTGATTGATTGGTTGATTGATTGACGGTTTGATTGATTGATTATTGATTGATTGAAAATAAACTTCAAATGCACCAAATGATACTTTTGATGACTGAAAATTAAAATCACCTTTATAGGATCGAGGATTCTAATAGCAGATGCCCACATCCCATTTCCTGCTTTGGCGGAACCAAACTGTTGCTCTGAAATTTCTTCATTCAAAAACTCGGCAGCCATTTGCGCAGCCATTTCCTTGTCCTCGTCACCAGCCATTTCTACCATTTCCTACGAGGAAAAAAAAAACGATTTATAATCGAACAACTAAAAACATATATACTGAGAAAAGTTTGTTTAAGACCCACGTGCATCGAAAAGCCTTCACGATCGTTTCTTTTTCTTTACAAATGATCCCTTGTTGAAAGATCCCTTCTGGTCGGTTCAAAATCAAGTAATTTTCGTACGTGAGAAAATCGCGCAATTGTTCTGGTCCTTCAAGTTTATTTAAAAAAAAAGAATCAATATAATAGTGTTACAAACTCGACGTTGCATGTCGTGCACAATAAGTCACGCAACGCTTTATTTTATTTTTTTTCACGCAACGCTTGTGGAAGCAATTTCTTCTTTGAAGTTGAAAAACCACGGAGTGTTCAGCGGCGCTTCATTTGACTCTCCTCAGAACTAGACTTTCGCTCAATATTCACCCATTCCTTGGAGTAAAAAAGAGTCCGACTTGGCAACTCTACTCAGAACCAGTCCTCTTGAATTTGATTTGAYAGAAAATAGCCTGGGACGAGTGTATAAATCAGTACTCACCTCAGCCARCTGTTGCTTCTTCTCTTCCTTTGTTGTATCAGTGTATGCATTGTGGTCAGTTTCTATGACAACTAAGTTGTTGCTAGGGGAATGGATGACGAATTTACGCGGTGTAAACTTCAGTGAGGTGGCGACTTGGTTAAAGACAGCACCTAACTTTTCTAAGGCAAGAATTCTGAAAGACGATAAATAAAGGTATTATTGATAAAAGTTTTTTTTTCATATCTAACTACAGTCTGCATGACAAAAGTTTGGTTTAGCCTCCTCCACAGGCATCACAAAGAATCACGGGCTTCCTGTCTTTTTTGGGAGTCAAAAGAGGGAGAATGGGGGCCAAAATGTTATTTACAAAGGAAGCTCAAAGGAGGAAAAAAGGGTTGCCTGGGGAGTAGGCTAAGTTTGGTTTTCATCCGAAACTTTGAAGCCTTAAATGAGACGTGTAGTCGAAATCTTATGTTTTCTCCCACAAGCATACTCTGTAGGGCGTCTCTTAGTTCTCTTGGGCTTCCTGTCTTCCTCACGACTAGTTCAWGTCCCCTCCTCAAACCACAGGGATCCCAAAAGGGCTAAATGAGGAGCATTTACATACCTTAAAGTGTTGGAAGATATAGCGACGATCCCTTCAGGGCACTGCTCAGACGCAAAACCCGAAGCATACTCCAGTGATTCATACGACAAKGGAGTCAAATGGACWCGACTTTGGTGAGTGTAACTTAACCATGAACGACTTGACATTGCCAGGACCTAAAATCGATTGCATTTGATTAGATATGAATGTAAGGACCGCATAGCAATATAAGATACATGACATAGAAATAAAGGAAAGTTATAGTGTTAGGAAGGAGGTTATTCCAGGAGAAAGACCCTTGGAAATAAATGTGGAAAAATTCAACCTCGTTCCCAGGGCTACTCTGCGCCCAGAGATAGATCTCTGTCCGCCATTTTGAAAAAAGCGAGCAGAGTAGCCCTGGGAACGAGGTTGGGAAAAATTGCATTTGATTGCATTTCGTTTTGTTCTGGGATTCCTGTGTTCCAGGAAACACAGGGATCCCGGCAACTGTAAGGACTAGGCAAAAAGCAAAGAAAAACCATGTGTTACAGGTAAATACGTACCGAGTCCATGCCATGCATCTGAACTTTGAATAGCTTRACCGGCTTAGATCCAAGATATCTGAAGAAAACAAGCAGAAAATAGTTTTTTTTAATTTTCATTGATCATGAAAAGCTACCTCCTTCCCAGGTCCGCCATTTTGAAAAAAACAAGCAAAGAAGCCCTGGCAACGAGGTTGATTGACAAGGAMAATGGGAACGAGTATGACAACGGATAGGACAATGGCCTGTGTCAGAATATCGGAACTGGGCGAAAACAAAATATGACGAATCCACGCTAGTGTCAATCACTAACCTAGCCTGCATAGCCAGGCGTTCCTAGCCGCTCCGAGAGAGTTTGGGCCCGAGAAACCCTTYACTTACCTTGTTCTTGTATCTGACAGGTCTCCAGTAACAGTGTCAACTACAGTCCTAAGGAGTACGCCATTCTACAAGGCAAAACAACAATTATTAGTGCGTGTACTACACATTGTAACTCAACAGTCCATGGAAAGCAATTCTTGGCGTGCAAGTYATRTCATCACCGCCATGTTGGATAAAAATCACAAAGCATTCCTCATTAGTTTCTCTTGTTCATTCATCCAACATGGCGGCGACAGCTTTGTTCTTTATTTTTCAGGGGATTCTTGGTCACATGATTGCACACCAAGAATACCATGACATAAAARTTTGCTAAAACTACATGAGATAAATAACAGTTACAATGTTTCACAATTTGATTCTTTGTGAAGTTGCTAAATGATTCAACTGTAGGGTTTTTATTCAATTCCAAAAAAAAATTGTACAGCACGGAATACAAACGAATGAATGCATCAATTTTCAATGGAAAGCTATGTAAAAACAAGCTCCTATTAGTCCCTTACCGACAAACCAATGCTTAAAAACAGACCACCAAGACTAGAGCCTTCAGCTTCACCTTCAACTCCACCCATCTCGACAATACACAGAGACTCTGGCATTGCTGGAAGGGCTTGCATACTTAGTGGAGTTAAACAATCCTGAAATCAAGAAGAAAAAGTGAACTCTAGTTAATATCGAATAGTTCTTATAATCAAAGGTGCAAAAATATATTGTCTCCTTTTTCTTAGGTCCTGTTTAAAACCTTTGATTTGTTCAGCGGAGTCACTASGACGTCCTTACATGAATGACATACCGAAGGTAACCTCTGATCACTTCGGGGACAACTTTTTTCATTTCATTAAAGCCCGAGGGAGGGGGGACTCAAGGGTAAAAGTACCGGGGATGCTCGTCAGAAATTTTCAAAAAGACCCTAAAAGATCTCGGAAGTCTTGAAAAAGAGCGTGGCTGACTGATTTTTAACCCCTAAGAGATTGGATAACAAATATTGTTAAATTAAATCAGTAAATCAGTGATAAAAACGCAGAGGAAAATCAATATCGATGCGCCCTTTCTCTTCTTTTCCGATATCCTACGAGATTGCAAAAAATGCAAATATCGAGAAACTCTAAATTGGCAGCCTAAAAGATTCCCAATGATCCGACAAACATCCCCGGTACTTTTACCCC